AGTGCACCGTGGTGATGTAATCTGGACTCGGGTTGTACAGCATCGTGTACCAGTCTGACAGCATCAGCACGCGGCAGGAACGGATGTAGAGAACGCCCACAGGGTCACTCACGAGCAGGGTGATGACGGCTGCCACGCTGCACTCAAACAGCGCAGTGATGTGCTGGAAGAGCGCACTGGAGCTGGAAGCAAGCAGAAGCGCAGCCACCGAGATTACCAGAGCACGGTGAATAGGTTTCGGGTAACAGCAAGCTGCAGACTTTGCCACCTAGATAGAGTGCAGCTGCCGCTGCCGCAGCCACAGCAATGCACTGAGCGGGCAGTCTTTCCTCCGCCCTAATCTGCCACGCAGCTTCTGCAGAACAAAGTTGCACACATAACTAGTCTGTTTTTAGCTTCTCTATTTTGTTCCGATGGTCCATTTATCCATCTGTGAGACAAAATAATATTACTACTCCTCAGTGATCATGGTTATCCCTAGCCTTTGTTCTTCCACATAAGTGTAATATCAACTTTAAAAAAAAATAAAAATAAAAAAATAAAATTAGTTTGTCAAATACAACATAAATTCTAACAGGAAGGTAAGAGATTTTTTAAGTAATATAGAAAGATAACAGATTTTTTTATAATATAGGAATACACCTTTTTATAATCCATTTATTTATTTATTTGGTACAGGTCTCGCTCTGCAGCTCGTACTAGCGATCCTCCTGTCTCAGCCTCCCCAGCCCTGGGATTACAGGTCTGTGCCACCATGCTTGGTTCTGGTGGCCAGCACAACATGTGGTACCAAGGATCAAACATGGGTCCTTGCACTTGCGAGGCAGGCACTTAGACCGCCACGCTATCTCCCCAGCCCAAGACACAGACTTTTTATATTTACCTCAGAGCCAGTCTCTTTACTAAAGTCCCTGGTTATTTCCAAAGCTGAGTTTGCAGATGGTTTTGATTCTTTCGTTTAAAATGAGTAATGCTCTATCACCCATCACTGCGCAGCAAACTACCCCAGAACCCAGGGACCGGAAACGCCAGCCACTGATTACTTCTATTCTTGCAGCTGGAATGGCCTGGAGAAGGTAGGCGTTTCTGTGCCACGTGATGCAGAGCTGGGGTGGACTCCGCGGCTCACCTGCGCCGCAGTGTGCGGCACAGCTAACTTCACAGGCTGCGGTCAGCGCTGGGTGATGGCAGCCAGGTGAAGTGCGGCTGCTGACTGGGGCCCCCTGGCTTCCTTGCAGAGGCCGCTGGGATGCTGGTGTTTTTAGTGTAATTATAATGCGCATTTAACCTGATGCTAAGGCAGGCATTACGGTAATGCTTGCCTGTAATCCCAGCACTCTGGGAGAGTGAGGCAGGAGGATCACCAGTTCAAACCCAGCTTGGGCAACTTAGCAAGACTCTTTCCCAAAGTAAAAACCAAAGGGGAAAAAAGCCTGGCTCTCCCTCATGGTCTATGTAGTTTTTTAAAGACTGTGATCAGATGATAAGTGGAAAGCATTAATGAAGCATTTCAGTTGTACGTGAAAATCTGAGCTTCAGGACATAAAGCTTATTTAGAAGCGCTTATATGTTTCCGTGTTCACACAAACCTTCGCTGTTCTGCTAAGATGTTCTATTTCTTCCTATTGCGTGTACCTCAAGAAAACATTTTCTGGTATCTCTGCCAGTGCCTAGAAGCTATTTACAATGTTCAGACTGTGGAAATGTTTCTGATAAACAGTGACATTGCTTATGATACAACCACCCCTGACTGGTAAGTTATACCCCAACTTCAGAGAACTGGAAGCTAAACAGAAGGATGCAATGAGGTCCCTGGATTCACTGTCCCCATTGCACTGTTCCAGGCTATGGCAGGAGAATTCTAAGTTTTAGGCCAGCCTGTGCTATACAGTGAGATCAAGGTCAGCTTAGCCTATACAGCGGGACCCTGCCTCAAAACTCAAAGATGCTACTGCTGACATGTCTCATGCTGTACTGGTAAGATGTGGTACAGCTTTTCTGGGTAGTACTAGGGATTAAAACCAGGCCTTTACACTGAACTAGATCCCAGCCCTATTTTTCCCCCAAATTTGCTAATCCCATCAGTGGAAGAGTGTGTGCTCAGCATGCACATGGTCCCCAGCACCAAAATAAATAACTAGTAATGACTACAAAATCGGTGCTTTCATATCCATTCATAGAATGGGCTAACCTCTTTTTCCCCGAGTACCATTCGATGAAGAACCAATGTAAAACAAGAGGCAGCATCGCCATGAATCCAAGGTAGAGCCAATCATAGAGCTCTGGAGATCCCGTGCAAGGTTGACAGTACTTCTGTGCATTTGTCCTCTGCCCCCTTGGGCAGACCTACAGTACAGAGACACAGTTTTTTATTCACGCATATCTTAGAATGTTAGTACATCCCATAGTAGTTGGACCATTTAAATGTAGCCTTAGACATAGAAAGCTTTTTATACATATAAAGAACTCAAAGCACAAGTAAAATATATACCTACATTGTATGGGTTATACCTGTAAAATCTTCATAGAGGATTTTTTAAATTTAATTGCTAAAATAGCTAACATGTAAAAATCCTACTTGGTAACATCATATAAAAATAATTGCAGACTTAGAAAAAAAGGGGTATACAGATGACTGTCCATTTTGTGTCTGTGTATTCAAAGTGATTAGGATAGATATATAGTTACATTCTCTTAATGAATAGAATGATTTGTTCTAATGGTGTTTGTAAATAGGATCTCAAGTCCAGTTCGTGTACAGCAATTAACCACTAAGAAGAATATATGCAGTGTGTTGTTGTTGAAGCTGTACTACCGATTTGGTTTGAAACTGTCTCATTGCTATCTGTTTATCAATAAAATTTTGAAAAAAAAATAACTGCAGAGAAATGCTTTGGAGTTGTAACATTAACTTACTGTACAAGTCCCTGCACTAAGTCATTTAAAAATAATTATAAAATGTTCTTAACTGTGACCATCAAAGATGTAAGATAGTATATTTCAATATTCTAACAAAAATAAGCATTTTATCTATGCTTTTTTGTACACAGCTTAAGAAAAAGATTCTACAGGTAAAAATACCTCAAAAACAAATAGACTTTACAAATAAAATATTATACAAACATCACACTTACCCCACATTCTCCATATATTTCCGTTGAATCATTTTTAAATAACAGGGTCTTCCCACAATAAAGTCCAAGGCATGCTGGTTGAATATCGACAGCTTTTTAAAAACAAACGCCAGTATAGTAACATCTTTTGTGATTATAAAAAAATAATGCAATAACAGCTGAAGCACTTGCCAGACATATCTCAATAGTTTCAGTCTCTAAAATGATAGGTATTAAGACAGAAGTCCTCGTACATTTTAAAATCTCTTCTTTTAAACTGTTCCAAGCAAATCTTGTTATTAATACTGTGATTAATGCCCCACCCAGCAAGGCTCATTTGATTCCCAAAACTCAAAACCTAACCCAGCATGTCTCCAGGGGAGCATACATTTCCCTTGATTGGAGTAGACTTGTAATTCTCTTTGACTATACAATGCAAAAACCATTTTTGAAAAGCTAAGGCGCTGAGGGTGGGTCAGCTCTTTTCGTTTTGCCCATTCAGGGCATCAGCAACACACACTATTGCCACCTTGTTCATAAGAAAACACCTTTTAACCACACGAATGCAAAAAGGACAAATTCTCAGAATAAAGTCCAGGCCGTTAGAGAAAATAAGTTCATCTCTACAAGACTTCCTACATCTTTCTCACTTTTATCATTTGAGGACAGGTGAAAATTTCGTGAAGACTGTTAGTGGGCCACTGACCAATATTAGCGAACCACTGCCTTGAATCAATCTTGATCTCCAAGCTTGGGCAAAATTAAAAGCAAAGGTCAGCAAGAACCAAAACCCACCTCGCCTTTAAAAAATCCAACCTCAATCTTGTCCACTCACAGAAACTAGAGCAAGAGTTTTCATCAGTGACATCTGATTTCATTCGTTCGTTCATTCAGAAGCATGTACTGACTGTCGCGTTCCACTATACAGGGGCCACTGAAGGTCCTCAGGGAAACAGAACAGTCCTGACCTCCTAAAAAGTCCAACTCGATGTCCCAAATGTGAACTGACGTGAAATTTACGCCTTTATGGCCACACTCTAGCCACCGTTTCCCAACTTCTTCATGAACAGCCAAGCCTCCCAGGTCTAAGAGGCCCTTCCTCCTTTTCTAAGCAAGGACAATCGGCTGCTCCAGAAGTCCCGAGGAGGCAGAACTGGCAGCAAACCCCGCAGACGAACGCTCACTTGCGCGCAGACGCAGTTCCCCAGCGTCCCAGGCCCGAAAGCCAGCAGGAGCGTCGGGCGCACAGCTCGGCCCGGCCACACGGCTGCGGCGCTGCCGGCCTCCCCGCCCTCCTTCCCTAGGGCCGGCCCGGGCCCGCCCGCGCTCCGCCGCCTCGGCGCGCCTCATTTCCCGGCCAACCAACAGGAAAACGTCCCCTCCTCGCGCAGTGCAGGGACCCCGGACTGGAGAGCCACCCGGCTCCTTCCTACCACAGCCCGCCGCCGGGAGCTGGGGCGTGGAGCCCGGCCCGGGACAGGCCTGCGCGGCCACCGGAGGTCGCTACCTGCTAACGGGCCACGGCGACCACTCACCCATTGGCCGTCCGAGGGCCTCGCTGCGGGGGCTCTGGGTCCACAGACACCTCCGCAGCGCCGGGGCACCCCGACCACAACACCTCCGGGTTCCGCCTCTCGGTAACCCGGAGACCGCTCCGAAGCCCCGCCCCGTCCTCCGCTAGGCTGCCAAAGCCCCGCCCACCTCCTAACTAGGCGTCCTAGCCCCGCCCTACTTCCGGGTCTACCGCGAAGCTCCACCCACTTCCGGTTTCCACACCGAGGCCCTTCCTTGTTCCCGAGTTTAGGATACGAAGCCCTGCCGGATCCCAGGTCTAGGCGCCAGCGCCCCGCCCCACTTCCGGTAAGTCCGCGGAAGCCCCGCCCCCTGGTCTCAGCTAGGACGCTCCGTCCTGAAGGTCCGTCGGGTCTAGCTGGTCTCGCGTGGGTCCTGCAGCGAGGGCGCCGCGGCGCAGACCATGGAGGGCGCGCCGGCCGTGCCCCGCCTGCCCCCCCACGACCCGAACACGCCGGCGCTGTCGGTGGTAGACATGCACACGGGCGGCGAGCCCCTGCGCATCGTGCTGGCCGGCTGCCCCGAGGTGGTCGGGCCCACGCTGCTGGCCAAGCGGCGCTACATGCGCCAGCACCTGGACCACGTGCGACGCCGGGTCCTGCTCGAGCCCCGGGGCCACCGGGACATGTACGGGGCGGTGCTGGTGCGCAGCGAGCTGCCCGACGCGCACCTGGGCGTGCTGTTCCTGCACAACGCGGGCTACAGCTCCATGTGCGGCCACGCCGTGCTGGCCCTGGGCCGCTTCGCGCTGGACTTCGGGCTGCTGCCCGCGCCCCCCGCCGGCGCGCGCGAGGCCCGCGTCAACATCCACTGCCCCTGCGGGCTGGTGGCCGTCTTCGTGGCGTGTGAGGACGGCCGCAGCTGTGGCCCGGTGCGCTTCCACAGCGTCCCGGCCTTTGTGCTGGCCTCAGGTAACCCGCGGGCGCCCCCTGTGGGGAGACGCGGCAGGGGCGCAAACTAACTGCGGTGCCGCTAGCCCATGCTGCGTAGTCGCGATTAACCAGAAGTAAACTCCAGATCGCTGCAGACGAGGGTCAGCATCTCAGCCTCGTAGTTTTGGTGCGTGCAATTGAGTGAGCCTACAGATCTCTACCCCCGAGCCTGCGTGCGGGAAGCCCCCTCCGACAGAATGCCCTGCTTCGTTGTGCAGGGCCTGGTTCTGCATTTTCAGGCGTTCCTAGAGATTCCATAGCTGAATGAAGCATGGGAAGCGAGAGTCCAAGGAAAGATCAGAGGATGGAACGTTTACCAGGGTTCTGGGCTGGCCCAGGATATGTTTAGCAGACACGTGAGTCGCTCAAACAAGTGACTAAATGTAGTCTCCTTTCCATCTGTCAAAAGTGACTCATTTTCGAAAAGGAAAGAAAAAGAATGAAGCAACTCATAAGTGACATTGTGAATGTTGCTGCTTTATTCTTTAAAGTACAGGAACACTGCCTAGGACAAATTTTGACAGCTCTGTGCATCCTTTGGAAAATTATTTAGCCTCCCTGAGCCTTTTTCTTCATTTGTCTTATGTTAGTGTTTTTGTCATATGCAAGAGTCTTACAATTTTAAAATTATACAAAATGGATATCTCAAGATGAAAAGACTGGAAGATACAGGATTATATACTATACCTTAGCATATCACATCTTTAGAAGGTGTTGGTGGATTCCCTAATACAGATCCTCATTTGTCATATAAAGCAGGACATTTGGAGAACTGCAGTCCTTACAAAGAGGGAGATCCTTCCAGCGGACAGCATGATGCCTGGTATTTGGTCTCCCTGAGCTGTCCCTCTAAGAGGCTGAATTCTAGCATAAAGAATGCTTTAGTATTGGAGATTGGAATGAGCTGAGAGTAGATCTAATTCATCCAGGAACAGGGTTATTGTTCCTTTTCTTCAGAGTATCAAGCCATACAAATCATTCAGTTAGAAAGTTGATCTTGATTCTGCTTGAAGACTTGGCTTCCAGATTAACCAAATCATGAATGATACCATTAGCACGGGTTTGTCACCACAGGCCAAATGTCCAAGTTGGTGAACACCTGGCAAAACTGATACGTTCCCTTTAGGAGACAGTGGTGTCACATTCAGATTGGCATTTGAGGGAGTCGGTTGATATTTAGGTTTTGTCTTAAGAACTTCAGCAGTTTAATTAGCATGCCTACCCACTTTCCCCCCAAGCAACTCCAGCAGATTAAAGGCTCTGGATTTTGTGGAAATTGACAGCTGGCTGCAGCGTCACCATGGACCTGGATTGGTTAGGGCAGGTGCAGCCAACCCCTTGTGTGCAGTAGTTATGAGTGTCACAATGCAACCGTGCAATAATTAGTGGACATTAATGACCACCTAGCTATTAAGGAAATTAAATCCTATATTCTTTACTTTGAAAATGCATAAAAGGCAGGGGCCACCTTCGTTCAGGAACAGTGCTCTGCCTTCCAGGTCCTTGTGATCTTGTGACAGTCAGTGCCTCAGTGTCACAGTCTGAAATGAGGACCTCAGAGGGTTGCTGAATTCAGCTCCAATCCACTGTGCTAAAACGCGAGGTCCTTTGTTTGCCACTTGTTCTAAGTATTGAGAACAGTAGGTAACGAATAAATGCTTGTTGAATGAGTAGCTAAATACATAATATTTGAAGACTGCTAATTGACAAATATAAATGCCCGATCCTCTTGAAAATTGTTTTCCTACTGAAATTAAACTGTATTTAAAAAATTAGTGCATGGAAGTAACTTTGATGGACAAGTGGTCCATTTTGAAGATGAAATAAAATCAGAGGTAGAGTGCCCATCCTAAGAAAGCCTAACTGCCCATCCTAAGAAAGCCTAGCTCCAGATTTCAGAGTGGACCAGAGAGCAGTTGAGGGCTCAGCGTTGTGTTTCCTGGAGCCAGTGTCCTCGCTGTGCCTGGCCTGGGGATTGGCGGCCAGTGCACTGCTGGGGTGCACAGTCCAGGAAGGGGGCAGGTGGGCCCGGCCACAGCCTGGCACCCGTGCCCTAGGATAGGTGCCAGTTTGTGCTGTGCCCACCGGAAAGCCTTAGCATCCACATTCCAGTAGTCCTTAATTTCTGTCTTCGTGCTCACTCTTCTTTCATTAAACCTGCTTTTCATGACAGTGTTACATCAGCATCGAGATAAAGCTTTTTTTCTTTCTTTTTCATTTTTGGTACTGGCGATCGAACCCAGCACCGTGGCCGTGAAGTCCACGCCCAGCTCTTCTGAGGCAGGGGCTCACTGAAACACTAAATTGTATCTGTTCGAGCAAAGTTTTCTTAAGAGTCAGCAGTGCGTTGGGAAGGAGAGGCCTTTGGCCTCTGCTGACACAACGGGCAGCCCAAGTCCGCCCACCTGAGCGGAGGCTCCCTCCCGCTCCTCTCCTGCTTGGCTGCCCCTGCCCCATGCCCTCCTGGGTGCCGGGAAGTTCGCACAGGCCCTTCTGCAGTCAGGGAAAGGAATGGCTGCAGGCTGGTAGGAATATTTCCCCCTCTGGGACACTTGCCTTTCCCCCGAAAATCTGTAAAACAGAAATCCTGATCATGTGCCTCCCCCTTAGACAGTGGCCTCCGTGCGGCCTTGGGCTGGCGAGGAGGGAGACAGGAAGGAGTGTGTGAGGAGTGAAGAGCGTTTCAGTGTCCTAAGATAGCATCCAGACCCATTCCTGTGGAAATACAGGCAAGGGACTTCAAACAGCTGGCCTTCAAGGGAAGCTTTCAGCGTGTCGGGGGCTTACAACGCGCAGATAAAACCCTGGATGCAGAATGGTGCCGCAGGGGCCAGCCGCTCGACCGTGGCCTTTCCTCTGAGCACTTGCTTGAAGGACACTGCGGGAGATGATATGTAGATAAATGTTTGGGTCTAATTCATATAGAATAGTATTTTTAAAATTTTTGTTGTGACATTAGAGCTGAAGAAAGCCAATTTGTCAATAGGAATCCAATACTATCTTTAACCATCTCGTGGTTCAGTCAGGAACCTGTGTGGTATCTGCTATTGATGTCCCAGGGCTTTTGTTTCTCGCCTCTCTGAGGTTTTCTAGAAGGGAGTCTCAGAGTGACAAACACTTGTGACTGGAGAAACGGTGCGCAGATGTTACCTGGCTCACACAGCAGCATCAAGATGCACCTCGCTTCATTTACCTGATGCTTGCTCGTTTAGAAAATGAATTTCTACTTCATTCCTTTTCATGACAAGAAAATTGCCCTCCCCCTGAATAAACGTATTTAAAATACTGTGAGTTTTTGCTAAAATACTGACACTTGTTTTCCAAACACTTCTTTTTAGATCTCATAGTGGATGTTCCTGGTCATGGAAGGGTTATGGTGGACATCGCATATGGTGGCGCGTTCTACGCCCTCGTCAGTGCAGGAAAGTTAGGGCTCGATGTCTGTGCTGCAAAGACAAGGGACCTCGTGGACGCCGCGAGTGCAGTGACCACGGCGGTGAAAGCTCAGGTCTGTGCAGCCTTGGCCTCCACACCCAGCACCCCGTGGCCTGGAGCCGTGAAGTTTCCATGGCTGAGAGACCCTGATCCTGCACATGTGTAACTTCTGGCAGTACTCAGACGGGGTCTTGAGATACTGGCTTAGCAGTATGGCAGGCTTAGCTACAGTAGACCCCTGGGGAGTTCTAGCTCTGCTGCTTACAGCGTTCGTGCAGTAAATGTTTTTAGGGTATTGTGAGTGAAGTGAGCCAGTGTGTGGACTCAGTGTACTGCCTGGCCCATGATCAATGGTCAGTAAGTATGGCAGTAAGTGATAACTATTATCTTCATTAATATGTGTATGGTAATATGATTTATGGTAAGTGACAGTAGTCCATTGAGATGTGTTTTGCAATATGAGGTTCATTTTTCTGAAAAGCTTGAGAATAATGAGTGTAAATTCAGCTTACAGATATTTTCATTGGGTCTGATAAGGCTCTCATGAAAGACAGTGATTCCTACTTAGTGAATTTTTCTTTTATTGCTAAGAACTTGCTTAACTTCAGGTAACTAGCTTTTGCTCAGGAAGAAACTATTCTGATAATAAAATCAGTTTAGGTTAACAAGTCTAGGTTATTTCTTTCATTTCTAGCACATGTGCTATTTTACCTTCAGAACCCATGGGCAGAACACAGTATTTAAATGTTTTGGCATAGAAGGATTTAATTAGTAGCAGTAAAAAATAACTAAGATAGTGCTTGACATATTTGCATAAATATGGCCCATTTCACACTCTCAGTGTTTTAATTTGATATAATTTATAACTCAGGTATTCCAAAAATGATCATTTTGGGAGAACTGTTAATATCAGTGTGTGGAGTTATCACGGTAACTTCTAAAGCTCTGTATTTGTCAGTTTTTTGTTTCATTCAGCAGACAGCTAATAACTGAACATTTTGGCACAAGATAACCCCACCTCATTTTAAATTAAATTGTGGGAGACAGTTGTCTTAGTAGATGGAGTGGTTCTGAACCCACCTTAAAGCCCCAGCTCCTTACAGGTGGCGGTGGCAGCGGAGCCGGGATTCTGTTGTTGAGTGGCAGATGGCAGGGCGGCTCTGTGAGCTCACATCACTGATGCAGACTGAGGACGGGCCGCTTGCAGAGTGAGGGGCTAACTCACCTTCATTCATTTTTCTTGCAAACATTTGCCAAGAACTCACTGCGTGTCAGACACTGTGACTGACGCTGCAGCCTCACAAGAAGAACAAACCCCACCTCCCAGAAGCTTGGCCTAGTGGGAACAAGCACCCCTACGAACAGGGTGTTGTTGGGGTGTGCTGTTATCTCAGAGGTCAGAGAACAGAAAACCAGGATCAATACGCAGCCCTGCTTAGTGTGGGCTTTGATGGGCTCTCAAATTGTCCAGTTGTTTTAAATGACAGGTAAATGGGGATGGAATGTACTAATTACAAGAATATATGAGAAAGTTAGAGTAATCTCATACTCTAGGGCACTGCAGAAATCCAAGGAACGTAGACAACTAGACTTCCCAGAACCCTGGCACAGTGAGGACACCTTTGGGCCCCGGGCGGCCTCAGCCTCTTGCTGGTACCTGCTTCAGCCTGTGTGCGTCTTCTAAGACTTCCTCCTCTGAGGTCCTTACGGTTTTTTACGTCCACTTGCTTCTGCACCTCAGGTTGGGATCCTGTGTTTGCCCGTGGCCTCGCACCATCCTTGTCTCTTGCTGGTGTTAACTTCCACTCTGGACTCTCACTGTGACTGGCTTTCCACATTCTCCTCTTCGGGCTTTTCACGTTGACCACACGCTACGCTTAGCTCAGCCACTGCCAGCCTGTAGCCCGACCGCCCTGAGGTCTGTGCTTCGGTGTGTGTGTCGGTGTGTGGGGAATGGAAATAAAACAACAGTTCCTGTAGCTGAGGGTATATTTGGAGCGGTTTCTTTAGAAGGATCTCAAACTATGATAAAAATCACAATTTCCAATAAAATTATTTATCTAGAGAATAACAGTAATATCTAGTGTTTGTGCCCTGCTCTAACATATCTGGGAATACCTTATCTACATTATTTGTGAAGATAAATTTGAATCAATATTTATTTTACACATGGTTATTTCATCATTGTTATTTTACAGTTTGAGATTACTCACCCAGAGAGCGAAGACCTCGCCTTTCTATATGGAACCATATTAACAGATGGGAAGGATGCTTACAATGAGGAACCAACCACCAACATCTGTGTATTTGCAGATGAACAGGTATTAAAGCCAGAATTGTTTGCAGACACCAGGACTGTAGCTTGCGCCTCTGAACATCCTTGTCATCGTGTGCTCTGACCAGGTTGACAGAAGCCCCACCGGCTCAGGAGTGACAGCCCGCATCGCTCTGCAGTACCACAAAGGCCTTCTAGGCCTGAACCAGCCCAGGACCTTCAAAAGCAGCGCGACCAGCTCGGTGTTCACAGGCAGCGCTGTGAGGGTGAGCACCCCTCGTTTCCTGGGTGTGAACGTGTTGTGGGTGGGACGGAGAGGCCTGTGTTTTGGGAAGGGTCCTCCACTTGGCTCTCAGAAGAGCCCCAGCGAGCTTCACATGGGTCTGCAAGATGAGAATTGTGCTAATGACGCCAAGAGGCCGTTTGCCTTCTCCCTTTCCCTCAGGAGGGTTCAGGGGCATTCAGAGGTCACAGAGGGTGGTACTTTCAATTGAATGCAACAGATGTCAGAATCCAGCTGTCTTCTCTAAGCCGCGATGCAAGAGGCTTGCAAACATGTAAAACAGTGCCACTTTCCTCATTAATTTTTTTCTTTTGCAAAATTAATTTTCACTTTTTTTTATTAATATGTAATAGGCTTATTTTCAAGTGAGGCAGTGAACAAATATATTCACAGTATAGTAAATACTGATAAATAAAGCCTGCAGGGCTTTTAGGGCATCCTTAAGATTTAAGGTATAAAGGGTTCCTGAGAATCTATTTGCAGATGAACAGGTATTAAAGCTGGAATTGTTCACAGACACGAGGACTGTGTAGCTAGCGCCTCTGAACATCCTTGTCGTCATGTGTTCTGACCCAGGTTGACAGAAGCCCCACTGGCTCAGGAGTGACAGCCCGCATCGCTAAATGGTTTGAAAACCATTACGAGTTGGAGGGCTGGCAAAATAGCTCAGTGGATTAAAGCGCCTGCAAGCAGGCGCAGGTCAGAGGGTTCAATCCCCAGCTGCCATGCTGGCCCCACCTCCAGGGCGAGCTGAGAGGGCGATTGAGACTGCGTGTGGGGGTGTGCACCTGTAATGCCAGCACTTGGGAGGCTGTAAGCAGGAGAATCACTATGAGTTCGATCTAGTAGTGAAACCCTGAACACCCTGTAGACCCTTCCCTAAAAAATACAGGAAAAAAAAAAAAAAAGAATTTTAAGAGTTTGGAGGTTCTTGTGTGTGTGGTTCTATAAAAGTGTTTTTTTCATTTTATGTAATATATAAAGCCAAGAAAATTTGAAGAAAGTGGAATTTTTGTAATGAAGTCACATTTTAAATGTAGAAGCTGAGCTAATAAACCTCATAGTAGTAAGCGAAATTTGCAGAACAATTAATCTGCAGCGAGCAAGTTAACCCAATGAATCATGCGGTCCTTTATCATAGTGAACAGCCTTTCCTAACTCGCGTTTTCAAGGCCCCTCCCGACCTCCCTCCACATGCCACTCCTGTTTCCCTTCGCAGTTACGATGACACCACCATCAGTACTTCCAAGCCACACGTTACGGCCATATTCCTAATTCTTTACTTACTACCTTCATTGGTCAGCAGGCAAAGTGTCTCTGTCTTATGTTCTCCCACTACCTAGTGACTGCGGGTTTAATCAGTGAATCTAGGTTATCTCTTAACAGATTTCTGGGCTTCTAATATTTTTTCCCCCACCCCAGTTTGTCCCATACTTTAAAGCTAAATTTATCTAAAACAACATGTACCCGTGTCACTGTCCTTAACATCCTGTTATTTCCATTGCCTGCAGGATTAACCCTTGGGTTTTTCTTAGAATGAAAATAATCAAGAGTACAATTTGTACATCAGATTCAGCATGTGTGCAGTATTTTGCTTTTGGTTTTGGTACTGGGAATCGAACCCAGGGTCTCATGCTTGCCGGGCAGGTGCTGCGCCACTGAGCTACACCCCCAGCCTGCAGTGTTTTCAGAGTATGTTCTCTTCATCTTTTCTCAGGAAGCAAAATGTGGAGATTTCAAAGCTGTTATCGTGGAAGTATCCGGACAAGCCCACTACACAGGTACAGCAAACTTTACGGTAGAAGACGATGACCCACTGAAAGACGGGTTTCTCCTCACGTGACCTCCGCCAGGGCTTGAACAGCTTTTGTTCTAAAGTAATAATTACTTGTAAGTAATGCTTTCTCAAAATTATGTGAAAACCAATGTCTACTTATTCACATGAGCTAATTTCCATTCTTAAAATAATATACTGTGGCTAAATAGAAAGTCATTATACTTCATATTTACTAATATATTTTGGTACAAAAATCACTTAAGTCTAGCATGTAAAGTGCCAAAAATTCAGAAAAAAATTTTCTAAGCTATTAACATTCTGAGTAAAATTAAGATCTTTTAAAACATTACTCTATGGTAATGACTATATTTTGTTCTAAAAGTTCTCCGAATAATATCTGAAATTGTAGTCATCTCAGTGGAGCTTACAAGTCCGCTGTCGTAGCGTTCTATCTTGCGACGAGTAATGCCCTGTAAAGGAGCCGGCTGACAGGATGAGCAGTCTTAGCATGCACAGCCAGGGAAGGCCCCGTGGGACAAACTGCTTTCACTTGGCATCCTTGCAGCAGCTGAGGTGTGCTGCGTGCCTCAACACCAGCTCCTACAGGGACTGGACAGCCGTAAATTGATTCTGAGAAAAAAAACCAACCTAGTAATTAGGTTTTTGGCACCTCTTTCAGGCTTCCTGGGAGGAGTTAAGGACAGCTCAAACTCAGAGCCGCATGAATGCTAAGCATATACAGTAGCCCCAGCCTCTTTCAGCTTTTACAGAAGAGGTTGCTTACTACTAACTGAAATGCAGGTACTTGTTAGAAATGAGAGAGTCAAGGGCCGGCGTGATAGTCCAGTGGACTAAGCACCTGCTTAGGCAAGTGCAGGGACTGGGATTTGATCCCTGGCCCCACGTGCCCCACCGGCCCCGCCCCCGGGTGCAGTGAGCTGCCTAGCGAGGTTGGGCATGGTGGTGCACGCCTGTAATCTCAGCACCGGGGAGGCTGACAACAAGAGGATCACTACAAGTCCGAGCTGCGTAGTGAGACCCTGCATGAAATACATTAAAGGAAAGAAAGGAGTGAATTACAAGGGTATGAGTTACACTTTTCAGCTGCGTGCTCGGTAGATTGAAAACATGAAAGAAATGCTCATGACAGTTAATACGTCTCACTAGTTAGTACTGCTCTGTGTGCCTTGCTCGCTGCCCAGGATCATAAATGGACGCACTTGCTCTCGGCAGATTCGTAGTGAAGCAGTAACGGTATTCACCTCTGAGCATGCGGAAAGTGAGTTCACTGTAACTGGTGTTGTCACCAGCAAGTCAGTACTAACCCAGTGACTGGGTCTGTGGTTTAATTACCTGACCAAAAGAAAAACTATAAAGTTACAATTTTGACTTTCCTATTGTCAAAAAATGTTAATGCTGCTTTTTACTCAGCCATCATAAAATTCTGTGACAAAATCATTTACCTCCAAGAAATGACAGTACCACTAATACAGTGTAATCAATCAATTTTCTACAGATTACATTAACTGTACTTTTTTAAGAAATAAAGTCAGAACCACTATTCTCTCAAAATCTTCTATCACATTAATTTGAAAAAATACATTGTTCTTAAGTTAGATTTTGTAGCATTTTCTAATGTGCTGCATCCACAGTCTCTACTTTAATGAAGTTCGTGTGATGGTTGATTGAATGGGAGGAGCTCAGTATGCTCAGCAATTCCACAGCCTACTTGTAGAGACCACCCAAGGGCGGCTTGTCCCTTGGATGGGACGAAGGGGAAATGAAGACGGGCGGGTCTAAGGCACGCCAGCGTGTGCCGTCAGCTTGGGGGTCACCGTCCGCCTGCCAGCTCAGATCCTTCAGTCTTCCATAGCAGACCCTTCACCTGCTGATAGACTCACACGGGACACCGCAGTGAGTTCCAGACCTTCGGCTAGATCCTTCAGTCTCCAGTGTGCAGACACCCCTAGTTAGGTTGGCACTGTGAGCCAGTCTGGTAAATTCCTGCACATTTGTATACCTTGTGTCGTGTCTGTTTCTATAGCAAACACTAACCGATACAGTGCATACTAGCATCCCATGGCTATCCATTCCGGGGAGTTCTATCCTTGCCGTTATGTGGAACGGTCAATTTTTGATGACAAAAACAAGCAGATGGTTTGGGGCCAGTTTTAATCCTGTTTGGGCATTGTCAGAGACAGCTCGTGGAGGATCAGCCTCCCCGGGGCAGGCCTGGCCTGGCTCACCAGTGTGGGTCAGTGTCTGTGTTCCATCGTACGGGTGAGGGAGGGAGATGCAGGTCACTCCCCTTCCCTAGGGCCTTCCGAGGCTGTGAGTCTAGGACTTCCAACTGCAGTCTGATACTTCCTAGCATACTTCTCCTTGAAGATAGGACAGCCGGAACTTATTCAAGATAAGATACTTCCGTGAAGATGTTACATTTTTCTTAAACATTAAAAGATACATATTCACTAATGCTTCCTAAGATCTAGTCTGAGCCAGAGCCTAAGCCCTGCTGTACGAGGAATCCTGCTCTGTACTTCACCCTCTCTTGGAGTGAAAACCCTAGTGATGTGCACTCCCCCGGCCCCACGTGTCTCGGCGGTCGCACAACCGTACTAGTCACCTTCTAGTTCAGTGATGGAGAACCTTTCAGAGACCGAGCGCCCAAACCGCCCAGTGCCAACACTGCAGCTAAAGCTGAAGGTCTGAGTCTCAGCTGCTGAGCAACGTGGCTCTCTTGCGCGCTGCAGCACGCCTGCTGGGGCTTCGCTTCCTCTGTTCCGACGTTGCTCCTCTTAACTCGCCCGTCTCCACAAGGGTCTCCCCTCATCAACTCCGCCGTGTAGTGGCTCTGTCTTCTCCTCACCAGTCTCTTCCCTGAAGTATTAAGACCTCATTACAAACAGAATGAAGCAAACATCCCTGTGCCTTCTCCTTTAGCTTGCTCTCACTCTAGCCCCATCTTTTGGGGTTCCAGCATCCAGACTTCTTACTGTGCCCACTGGGTGCTTTCCGTTGCCTCCATTTACTCTTTAGCAGCAATGGTGGTTCTTCCTCTTCTCATGTTGCCCCTGCTTGACTGGATGCCAGCTCTGCTGTCATCGTGGGGTTTCAGGGCTCCCGAGTGAGTGCTGCTGTGTGCTCCCTGCAGGTAAGTGTGGTGCAGGTTCCCGCGCTTCTGGTGCTGTCCTCACCCACAGAGCCACTTAGTATGATGCCTGGGGAATTGGTTGGGGCCTTAGCATGGGGTGGTCTCATTCACACCCTCTTGGCATGCAGTTGTGTGAGCCATTGCCCATCTCTGTCATCCACTTCTCTTCAAAAGCTACGGTTCATACTGTCCTCTTACACCTGCTCACACAGCACTGTGTGTACGAAGTCACCTGGCAATGAAAACCATAGGTCTAATTCTTTAGGGCTGAGGTGAGGCGTTTCTAGTAAGTTGCTAGTAGGGAGACCACACTTTGAGTAGCAGAACTTTCTGACAACTTTTTCTTACATCTTGGCCTCACTTACAAGCAAGTCTCCCTACAAGGCAGCTTCTTTTGGCTCTGAAATACTGTACGTGAAGAGCCTGTTTTTCAGCTAAAGGGCAGAAGAACACATATAACTTGCAAAGTCAAAAGGAATGACTGAGGGCCAGGGAGATAGCTCAGTAGAATAAGTGCTTGCCTGGCAAGCGCAGGGTCCCGAGTTCAATCCCCAGTACCACACACACACACACACACACACACACACACACAAAAGGACTGAGAGAATTGCCATACCCTTTCTTCTGAAAAACTCAAAAAAAAAAAAGGACATAGCTGGTTTCTCAAGTAGACTGAAGTGCCTTGCTAATTACAACCACTCACCTTTGCTTCAACTGTTTAAGTTTCACTGCTTCCTGGATGCTGCATCTGTGGTTCCTCATTTTACTCCACATTCTGCACCTAACTTGACACATGGTGCCATGGTTTTCCTTCTCAAAGAGGCTGACAACCCCTCAGTTGCTACATCTTAACGTCCAGAGCCAACAGTGCAAATTCTTTACCTAAAGGGACAAACTACATTCATTTTCCTAGGAGGTGCCCCTCTTCCCAAGACCCCTAACTTGCTAATTGGCACTCCACCCAGCCCTCGAAAAAGCTGGGAATAACCCTGGTTTCATGCCCCCTCTGTCCTATCTGTGGGCGCTCCTGACTCAGCTGTGGCATGTGGGGCTTACATCAGTCTTTTGTCCTTCAATTAGTCACACCCTCCTTTCCTTCTACTTCCCCAACCTGTGTGGGGCTGCAGCACGCTGGCACTTTGGTCAGATCATCTCTCCAGGACCCAGGGTGCTGAGAAAGGGCACGGGCTTGGAGATAGACTGAAGCCAGAAGGTGATGGTGCTCGAGAAAAATGCCCTTGGTTAGTTTTGTCTTTCCCCAGACGTCTCTTGTTAGGGGAGTCGGGGGAGAAGCTGTCAGACTGAATATAATTTGAAGTTGCCATGTCCTAGTAATTTCTCATTTCTTATGTAAGCCAGGTCCTCCCTGTTGGTGATCTTTACAGCCGAGGAACAGGAATCCCTACACTACCAATCCCTACACTACCTCCTGAGCATCCCTTCTTTCCCCCCTGGGCTGCAGCACTGCCTTTTCTTCTGGATTATTTGTCCCAAAGTCACTCAAAACCCTTTTCTTATATCTAGCACATTGCTAAGTGCTAAGTACTAGCTAGATGCATAATACAGAACCAAATGAAGGGAGGCGGTAACATGTGGACGATCACAGCAATGTTCTGACAGGCAGTGGTTGTACGCCACCAGCAGAAAGTATGGAGTGCTGCGATGATAACCAGGAATGGGGCACGTGGGGGTAGAGCATGCCAGGTAAGTGGGATAATCTACACTGGGGCATTGGAGGGGTGGGAGCTTTCTGGACAGAGGGGATTGCTAGTGTAAATGCCCAGATGCAGGATTTAAGGAACTTGAAGAGGTCAGTGTGACTGCAAACCTGTCAAGAGCATTTGGCCTGCAGTGTGGAGTGGGGACCGGAGTAGGCAAGACCACCTGGGAGGTGACAGCAGTGGTCCAAAGAGAGAAAGCAAAGGTTCAGGTGCACAATGACGGTGGAAGCGAATGGCCAGAAAATGTTCAGCAAGTAAAGTCCCCAGATGTGCGGGATGGACTGGATGCGGGATGAAGTGGGGAAGGTATCAAGAAAGAATCCTAAGTTTTGGGCTTGTGAGTTTGATGGGTGAGGGCTCCATCTTTTGATACAGAACATTATCGAGCAGGGTATCCAAGGGAAATGGGAGGGGAGTCACGGCACCCTTCTGCATGATGAGGTGCTCCTGCATATCCTGGGCGATTCCACACCATGGGATCCATGGGCGAGAGCCCAGGTCACAGCCCTGCTTTGCCAGTAGGGCCTCCCTCAACGCAGCTCAGAACTGTAGCAGCCACACAGAAAGGGGCCCCAGTGAGTTCCATCGTTTATCTCTTCAAGCCCCACCCACCTGCATCTTAGGGTTCAGATCTGCTCGTCTTGCACATGCATCACATGTCCTTCCCCTCTTGGGAGGGAGAGTCCAGTGTCACATCGTGCCCCATCTTTATCAGCTGTCCTAGGATTCCATACTTACCACCCTGTAATACATTAGTTATTGCCTAAGACTGGAGGCCTCTGGGTAGAATCCTTCTGTTTTTTCCTAAAACCAAGCACGCTAGATGATTGTGTTTGCCAAATAGATGAATCTATGATCATTGTATTTTTGTCCTGATTCTCAACCAGGGTTGCTTTTGTCCTTCGGGAAATCTGTCAGTTCCTGCACTGGACATTTTTAGTTGTCAAGCTGGGAGAGGTGCTGTTGACATCTGATGCCCAGTGACTGGGGAGTACTCAGTGTCTGAGTGCCAAGGCCAGCCTCCCGACAGAGAAGCATCTGACCTGAAATGTCAGGGATGCTGAGGCTGAGAAGCCCAGTCTTACTTTACCATCTTAGAAGTACTTCTATCCAGCCTGAGCTTCATGGGGATAATTCACTTAAGTATTCAGAGCTCTAATATCACTGACCCCAAATGCCACATGTGTGCTACTCATTCCTCTCCACAAACCCTATTCCCCCTGAGCTACGATCTTTTCATATTTTAAAATTTTGAAACAGTCTTGCTAAATTGTCAAGGTTAAACTCAAGCTCCTGATCCTCCTACCTCTGCCTCCCAGAGTGCTGGGACTGGAGCTATGTCCACCACGCCTGCTGTTAGCTCTTTTTACATCAGTATTTCTGAAACTTGATGGCCCATCAGGGTAAGTTGGAGGGTTTGTTAAAGCATAGGGAGTGTCCGGTGCGGTGGCACACACCTGTGATCCCAGCACTCAGGAGGCTGAGGCAGGAAGGTGGCTGTAAGTTCCATATCAGCCTGGGCTACAAAGTGAGCTCAAGGCCAGCCTGAACTGCATAGCCTGACCCTACCTCAAAAAGTCACACACAACCCTGTCACATGTAGATGTGAGTGTGGTCACATTAGGTCCTTCCCAGCAGCCAGGTGGTGCAACTTCGAGCAGCCACCCCTTGTCTGTTCCCGTGTGCTCCTGTCAGGTGTCGGCTGCATCTCTCCTGGCTGGCAGCGCCTCAGACTCAAAGCACGCCACAGTGCAGAGCTCAGAGGAAGGGCGCCAGCAGATACAGTCCTTCCCTTCTCCTCAGGTGTTAGCCAGTTACCGGCCTCAGTTCCCGGGGCTTGAAAATGAGAGGAGTCCTTACACCAACACGCATCCCCTAGGTCCTCAGGGTCCTTGAGAATCAGGCCGGTGTAGACCCAGAAATCCTGGGAGCTGGCCAGGGGAATATGCATTTCTACGAGCACACAGTCTCAGTGTCCCCACCGTGGTCCTTAGGCCCCTTCACCCCCATCCACATGAAGATCCTGAACACCAGCGCAGGCCAACAGCGTCCGGCATGGACCAAGGCCCTCCTTAGGAACCTGAGCCTCTCGAGTTTAGGAACGAGTGTTTCCCACTTAAGGTCCTACATTCCTGCCATGGACACCCCTGGGAGCAAAGCCCTCCTCCCCCCCCGAACCCCCCCCCCCAGGCCACCTGAGCCCCACAGGAGCACCCTTGTGGAGCTATTCTTGGTGTGCGCGCAGCAGACCACACCGGATGGCCTGGGAGAGGCTGCGGCGGGGGCGGCTTTCCCTAGTACCAGGCTGGCGGCCCGCCCCGCGCTCCTGCGTAAACACGCGGTTCCCGCGGCAACGCCCGGAGCCCACGTCAAAGGCTCCGCAGGTCCGGGGCGAGCGCCCTGCACCCCTGCGGCCGGCGGCCGGTGCCCCGACGATCTGCCGCGCCCGGGTGCGGGATGCACAGGCCAGGGCATGGCCTCGCCGCGCCCCGGCGCCCCCTCCGTGCCCGGCGGGACGCCCCCCGCGCTCTGGCTTAGCTCCGCGGCGGCGGCGCTGGGGAACCGCAGCGAGGAGGCAGGCAGCGGCGGGCCCGGGGCGGCGCTGGCAGCGCAGGCGCTCGTGCTGCTGCTCATCTTCCTGCTGTCTAGCCTGGGCAACGGCGCCGTAGTGGGCGCGATCGTCAAGCACCGGCCGCTGCGCACGGTCACCAACGCTTTCGTGCTGTCACTGGCGCTGTCAGACCTGCTCATCGCGCTGCTCTGCCTGCCCGCCGCCTTCCTGGACCTGCTGGCGCCCCCCGGGGTCCCGGGGCTGTGGCGCGGCTTCTGCGCCGCCAGCCGCTTCTTCGGCTCGTGCGGCGGCATCGTGTCGTCGCTCAGCGTGGCGCTCATCTCGCTGGACCGCTACTGCGCCATCGCGCGGCCGCCGCGAGACAAGCTGGGCCGCCGCCGCGCGCTGCAGCTGCTGGCGGGCGCCTGGCTGGCGGCGCTCGGCTTCTCGCTGCCCTGGGAGCTGCTGCTCCCCGCGCCCCGCGGGCCCCCCGCCGCGGCGCAGAGCTTCCACGGCTGCCTCTACCGCACCTCCCCCGACCCTGCGCAGCTGGGCGCGGCCTTCAGCGTGGCGCTGGTGGTGGCCTGCTACCTGCTGCCTTTCCTGCTCATGTGCTTCTGCCACTTCCACATCTGCAGGGCCGTGCGCCTGTGTGACGTGCGCGTGCGGCCCGTGACCACCCACGCGCGCGCGCTGCGCTTCTTCCGCGAGGTGCGCACCGCCACCACCGTGCTCCTCATGATCGTCTTCGTCATCGGCTGCTGGGGCCCCCACTGCCTCCTTGTGCTGCTGGCCGCCGCCCGGCAGGCGCAGGCCGGCCGCGCCCCCTCGCTGCTCGACGTGCTGGCCGTGTGGCTGACCTGGGCCAACGGGGCCATCCACCCGCTCATCTACGCCATCCGCAACCCCAACCTCTCCATGCTGCTGGGGCGCAGCCGCGAGGAGGGGTACCGGACTAGGAACCCGGGCGCATTCCTGGCCGGCCAGAGCCCAGTTCTGCAGCTGAGGAGTCGCAGTCGCTTTCGGAACCGCTGCACGGGCCGGCTCAGGGCCTGCAGCAGGATGGCCTCCTCCGACCCAGCCAGCGGTGCGGGAGGAGACCTGGCCATGTGGGCCCGCAAAAACCCGGTTGTGCTTTTCTGCCGGGAGGGACCAGCGGAGCCTGGGACAGCAGTGGCTAAGCAGCCTAAATCCGAGGTCCGAGATACCAGCCTCTGAGGGCCAGCTTCGGAAGGCTCGTACAGGATTCCTCAGAGACTCGATTTCACAGAGCCAAACATTTGAAACTCGAAAGGCAGGGAGGGTTGCCACTTCCTCCACACAGCGTAAAAGACAGTGTACCCTTCTTCAAAGGTGTCCAAAGGAATGTAAAGTGCAAAAATTAAAAATCGTAAACCACACAGCCAAGCATTGTAAATTGTAAGTGCCAAAACACAAAACTCAACCATCACTGAAAAGCTATATTCCAAGAATCACACTGTGAAACACATCACTGAGTGCAATCAATGTATGTTCAAACAGCAGTTTCAGGAATGGCATCCCTGGGAGCTGCTGACCGCCCTTGGAACCACCAGCATCCAGCATCCGGCATCCAGCTGAACTTCAACATCCACAACCGCACTTCTGACCCTGGCTTCTGGGCTTAGCTTTGGGAGCAGAAAATGCGTATTCTTACCTAAATTGGTGCACCAAGCATATGATCTTTGTGAGACGTTTTAAAGTCAGATCCTATTTAAAACCATTTTAGAAATTTAAAAGGATGGTTTGTTACCAGTTGAAACGCAGGCAACTCAAAGTGTGCGCATAAAAAACTACAGCTGTTTTTATTAAGTATTCCAAAGCTGGGGATGTAGCTCAGGGTTAGAGTGCGTGCCTATCTTTGCTCGAGTCCCTGGGGTTGGTCCTCCACCTTGCAGGAAAAAAGAATGAAAAGTAAAGTATTCCAAGATTATACATACGGATTAACGTCCCTTCCTCCCCTACCCCCCAAATAATCTGCCTCTGGAAACTTGTGAGGGTTTGTCCTTACTTTAAACATTTTGCTCACTTCTAGGATGACACTGTCAGAATGCTTTGATATTAGAAAAAAAGACTTTCATAGTAGGAAAAGTTTTTCTTTTGTTGTAAATTTGATGTTTTCATGTAGTCAAACTAATTTGAAGTCACATTGATTGAACAAGGTGACTACTCTGTAAAGTAGCAAAGTTGGCTTTCCTATGTGACTTTTTAAATAACTAAAAGTGAATCCAAAGAGAAATTCGAATAGTTTGAGAAGTGGCCACATTGTTAGAACAACCATGGAGCTTTCTCAGAGGTCATGTCCTCCCCCACTTGGAAGTTTGAGTATTTTTAAATAGGCAATGGCTGCTTTATGGTTATGACATATAAAACACTCTAGTCCTCATCCAAAAGGGAGTCCAGGTGTCAGCTTATTATACGAAATAGGGTTTTAAAAACATAGCTGTGAGGTTGGAGAGGTACCACAAGCAAACCAAAAGTGGCTGCAGAAATGTGTTTTTACAGTGATTTAAAAGTGTAATTTAGAACTTGTGTACGTGAAATTTCTCACATCGGATGCCGCTGCATTCTGAATTTCTCAGTTTCTAAGATGATCTCCTGTTTATTCCACTTTCTTTATTTCCTTCCATCTTGCTCCTCTTTCCTTCAGTGTTTTGTGGACTTAACCTGGTTATGCAAAGACATTGTCTATCATGTAAAGATTTCCATGTGGTGGGGCCGGGGAGATGGCTCAGTGGAATAAGCACTTCCCTGGCAAGCGCAAGGGTCTGAGTTCAATACCGGGTTCCGTCAAAAAAAAAAAAGATTTCCATGTGGCATAACCAATATTATTTTCTTGTAAGATATCTAAGGGTGTTTGTCAGTATTTAAGTCTTTGTGTGACATGTTACTGTTTTGTAACCAAGAATGGAAATACATGCTTCCTGTCAGAGCAAAATATGTTTTAATTTTCCGCTTCTCTGAGTATCATCACAATCAGAAGTTTGTAAGGTATCCATGTATTTTGCCACACTTGGATATATTTCAGAGTGAATGAGATAATCTCTCCTCCCTAATATTTATTATTGTAAAACATACAGACAGTGCAACGGGACTAACATTTCACAGAAATCTGTAGTATTTTCTTGTTGAATAAAAAAAAGTATATTTTATGACACTGTGAAAAACAGCCTGGAGGGTGTAGGGAGAAATGGTGACATTGAGGTTGGGGAGATGGCTCAGTAGAATAAGTGCTTCCCTGGCAAGTACAAGGACTTGAGTTCAATCTTCAGTTCCACCAAAAAGGAAAAAAGGTAATGTCTCCAGCTACAGAGCAGATAATAGAATAGGAATTCAGCAATTGTAAACAGAAGGCAGAAAGAGAGCGAAGATGTAACGTGGGATGAAGTGGCCTGGTGTAAAGGGAAAGCTGGGCCATAGGAGGTGACCTGCAATGGCAGTAAGGACTTTAGGAAAGAGAAGCAGGACTGGGATGTGGTAGGGGTAAAGCTCTTGCCTTGCATGCACAAGGCCCGAGGTTTGATCCCTGGCACCCCCAAGAGAAAGAAAGAAGAAGCGCAATCCTCCCTTCAATGGAAAGTTTCAGAAAGGAAATGGCCCGGGAAAGAGGCCCTTCTGTTAGTGGTTATAAGAGTCAAAAGGTTTCTAATAAGTTCCTGGGTGATTTTCAACATCCGGTGTGTGTACACACATGCACACATGTGTGCTTAGTTTTCAATTTGCAGTTGTAAAACTATTCAGTGGTAGAAGTAGGACTCACACTGCAGCGTGTCCGGCCTGACAGCCCCCCATTCCCTTCTCTACCTTCTGGGCCCCTCAAAAGTCGATGTGCAGGGGCTGGTGAGATGGCTCAGTGGTCTAAAGCACCTACTTAGAACAAGCTTGGCAAAGCACGGGGACCACGGTTCAATCCCCCAGCACCACACGCCAGCCAGCACCGCCCCCTGGTGGGCTGAGCTGGCCACACACACACACACACACACACACACATAAATAAATAAATAAATAAATAAAATTAAAAAAAAAAAAAGTCGATGTGCAAGTCGAGCCTGGTGGCACACACCCGTAATCTCAGAACTAGGGAGGCAGAGGCAGGAGGATTGTTGCACGTTGGAGACCAGCCTGAGCTACAAAGTGGGGAAGAAAAGGTAGGACATTTTTCATAAAAGATTATTAGTGAAAGGAGGAGAATTTGGAAGCAAAGGATACGCTGATAAAGGTCAGCAGCCTACCTGCTTCACTGTAAATACTTAGAAATCAATGTCTTGGGTAAAAAGACAATAACATTCAAACAATCTCAGGTGTGGACCTTCCCTCATGCTTACAAAGAATATGCACTTGTATGACTTAGTGGGAGAAGGAAAAAGAGAAACATAATTATTGGGACTAAATATCACAATGTGAAGGTCAGAATATAATCCTTCATCTCCTTTTGCTCTCAGTTTGAGTATTTCGTTTGGGCTGCAACAATCACAGCAACAAGTGGCGCTCAGTGCAGAATGCACATAAGCCCACTAATCTTCAGAACAGCTTTAGGAAGGAGGACTGTTACTCTTCTTTTTCCAATTTTACAGATTTGAAAAGAAAAAGCAAGGGGGCTGAGGAGATAGCTCGGTGGCCTAAGCATCTGCTTGGCAAGTGCAAAGACTGGGCTTTGATACCCCAGTACCATATGCCACGTTAAGTCAGTCACTGAAACTGGGCATGGTGGTGCAGGCCTGTAACCCCAGTGCTGGGGGAGACTGAGACAGGATGACCACTATGAGTCTGAGCTGTGTAGTGAGACCTTGTACCAAATAAATAAATAATAGATTAAAAAAA